TCCAGCATTAGTCATTGTAAAGTACCTTATTTTTAACCCTTAATTAGGCGCATAAAGAAAATCACACAATAAGTCAAAATAAAAAAATAAAAGTACTCTATTATCGTTAACTTAAAAAACAAAAACATATTTTCGACTTCAAACTTAAAAAAAAATTAAAAACTTGCCTCTCCCACAAAATGTTACGTTAGTGGTCGCATGGTGTCAGGACTTATAACCCTACAAGACGCGATTGACAGAAACTCCAACACAATCACAACGAAAACTAACACATATGCAAAACTTTATATACCAGTTTGGCTCTGTAACGAATGACTGTCATTTGATCGATCAAGTGACTGGCAATGCTGATAAAAGTAACGGTAGTTGGTTGTCATAGTAACCACAAGATTCACTAGGGCTGCATTTTGTGCTCAACAAAAGTAGTTGTACCTGCCAAATAATGTCCAGTACTGAAGTACTTGGAAATAATTTGGAACTTAATTAGTTTAATTTTAACTTTACCATTATTCGACCCCGTCATAGCAAAAGTAAGTAAAAATAAAAGCTTTCATTGTGGTGGGACATTCTCTTTATATATAAACGTAATAAATAAATCCGTATTATAAAGTACTTGGTACTGAAGAAGTTCAAATGCGCACATCAACAGAAAAAGGAAAGACGCAAAACGAAAAGATGCTCAAAACTCGAAAGTGCTGTGGAAAAATAAAGATACATTTTATAAAATATTTCATTTAAAATGAAGAAAAGTGCTTTTAATACCGCCATGAGCAAGAACAAGTAAGAAAGTCTAAGTTCGGGTGGAGCCGAACATTAAATACCCGGCGCAAGTATTAAATATATGTTTTTTCACCTTTCCGAAAGCTACCGCTAGATGGTTAGCCGGGGCGTATCAATTTTGAGTAAATTAGAGTCCTTAAATTTCGAAATTTTGAAGTTTCAAGCAGTTCTGAAATTTACCGTTATATAAAAAGCGGTCTAAATTTTAGTCCGATTTCAATAATTTTCAACATTTTGCTTTTATGCCGCAAGGACAATAAAAATACCGAGTTTGGTACAAATTGGTATAACGGTTACCTATATACATATATGTGATCATAAGTGGGCGGTGCCACGCCCATTTTCCAAAATTTTACCATAAACGTATTTCTTGGTAAGGAATTGTTGCAAGCATCAATTTTGAATAAATTAGCTTAAATATTTACTGGTTTATCGAAGATTTTGTATTTCTCTAAATTACCGTTATATGGGATGTGGGCGTAGTTATTGTCCGATTTAGTATGCTGTATCAAGGTCAACAACTGTGCCAAGTTTGGAAGTAATTGGTGCAGCGGTTACCAAGATATACACATGTAACCATAAGTGGGCGTGGCTACGCCCATTTTCCAAATATTTATAATATTCTTATTTTTCGTCCGAAAATTATTGTAAATATCAATTTTGAGAGAATTATCTTCAGTAGTTACTAAAATATCGCAGTTTTCGTATTTCTGGAAATTACCGTTATATGGGAAGTGAGCGTGGTTACAGTCCGATTTCGCCCATTTTCAATACCAACCTACCTTAGATTAACGGAAACCTACATACCAAATTTCGTTGAGATATCTCAATTTTTGCTCCAGTTATCGTGTACACGGACGGACGGACAGACGGACAGACAGACAGACGGACGGACAGACAGACATGGCTTAATCGATTTCTCTATTCATTCTGAGCATTTATGTATACATTTGTCTATATCTATTTTATTTATTTATTTATTTATTTATTTATTTATTACAGTCATTTGACCTATATACATTCACGTATATACATTTGAATTATGTATTGCAATATACAATAAAAGTAAAGTTAAATTTAATGCTTAAAATACGTTAACCTGTTACATTTTTCCTTCTAAGCTATATAATAGTATGTATATTTAACTAAGCATATTCTCGATGCTGTTGGAATGGACGGGATTCCAAGCAGTACCGTAAATATATCACGTACGATATGCGGTCTAAGAGTGTAATTTCCAGAGCCGCCACAACTGAGCGGTTGGAAAGGACTAGTTTCCAAGCCGCTTCTTATAAACTTCTCTACCGGCAGGCGATCTGAATGGACGAAATCCAGAGTGGCGCCATTTGATCAGACGGAAAGGACTAGTTTCCATGCCGACCTTCTTATTTCATACATTATGGGTGATCTGAATGGACTAAATCCAGAGTCATCCAGCCAGTACGGATGGAAAGGACTAGTTTCCATGCCGGACCTTTCTATCTGATATCCAATGTTCTACAGTGATCAAGTAGCAGCCTTTTGAAGGTACCAACGTTTTCGCAATTTTTTATTTGAGCTGGAAGCTCATTATAACATTTTAATCCATTATAAAAGATATTCTTCTTATCTATTTCCGTTTTATACAGCGGCAGCCTGAAACTATTATTTCCCCTGAGTAAATACGAATGGGTTTCACTATTATATCGTAGGATATCACTCAGATAACGTGGTAGAATTCTGCGATCATTTCCTGTATGGGTGTGTCGTAACGCTTGTTCAAGATAAATCGCATAGCCCTATTTTGCATTTTTTGAAGCTTATCTATTTGTGTGTCGCTTGCTATAAAAAAGATAGTTGGACACTATATGAAATGTGGTTCAACTATAGATCTGTAGACCAAAGTCTTATACCTCCTTCCTAAGTACTTACATGATCTTTTCATGAGACCAATTTTTTTACCAATTTTTGCTACTGTGTAGTTAATATGTTCCTCAAATTTTAACTTATCATCGATATATATACCTAGATATTTAATGATTCTCACTTTCTCAATTACTTCATCTTTAATTTTTAAACTGTAATTATCGGAGCTGCTCTAGATATGACCATAAACTTTGTCTTGTTCACATTTAATTGCAGTCTGTTTACGCACAACCATTTATACAAACAATGAAGGTCTTCTTGCATTTTAATCATTGCATTGGGTAGATTACTGTCACTGAGGGTTAAGAGGGTATCGTCGGCGAACAATTTTACCTTACAATACTTCAATGCTGAGTTTATGTCGTTAATATAAATATTAAAGAGTATTGGAGCTAACACCGACCCCAGGGGTAGACCAATATCTACTGCTACCTTTGTGGATAGAGCTGTGCCAATCACCGTTTGTTGCTTCCTATCAGAAAGAAAACTACGGAACCATGTAAGTTCGATGTTATCTATACCAATATATTCGAGTTTTTTTAGCATTATTTCCCTGTCGATTGTCTCGAAGGCTCTCTTAAGGTCCACAAACACCGCCAAGATAGTTTTGTTGGAGTTCAGGTCCTCCTTCCATTGTGATAAGATCAAGTTTAGAGCTGTTTCACATGAGTGATTAGGCCTAAAACCTGACTGCTCCCTAATGAGTATTTTATTTGACTCAATATAGTTTAATAGTTGATTTTTTACAACCGTTTCCAATATTTTTTCTAAAATGGGAAGGGTGTTTATTGGCCTGAGCTCCTCCGATCTTATGGTGTTTTTGACCTTTTTTATAGGGACAATGGTCGAAGTTTTCCATTCTGTCGGAACTATTCCCAACTGAAGGCTCTTATTTACTAATAGGGCGTAAAAGTGACCCATGTATTCAACGGAGTCTTTGATTACACCCTCGGATAATAAATTATTTCCACCAATTTTTATCTTGAACTTCTTTACTATATGGATAATATCATCTGTACTAATCTCACAAAATTTAAAGGTCCCTCGATCATTTTCCTGTTGAATCGGATCATAATTAATGTTTTCTATATTCCTATTAATATCGATGATACTATCAACAAAGAAATTGTTTAACTTGTCGGCGATTTCAGTACTATTGCTATATATTTTACCGTTGATTCGAACCTCTTTGATGTTTTCTTTGTGATCCGCATTATTGACAATATTCTTCAAATGTTTCCACATTAAACGACTGTCACCTCTATTAATTTCCACCTTGTATTCCATATATTGTATTTTTTTAATTCTAATCATTTTTTTATACGCTTTCTTTATTTCATTGTATTCTACCCAATCACCAGTGATCACTGCCCTTTGGTGTAACCTAAATTTTTCTTTATTAGTTTCAGTCAATTGACTGTCATACCATTTATTTCGGATTTTGACCCGCTTTTGTACACGAGAAGCTAGTTTTTTCATACTCGAAATTAAACAGTTATTAATATGTCCGAGCATACTATCAGGACTGAGACTATTCATGTCAGCGAAGGTGCATTGTCGCAAAAGATTTATAAGGTTGTCTGGGCTGTACCCATCCCACGAAGTTATTTCAGACAGTTTACTGATAGGGCTTTGTTTTTTTATATCGCATTTGAACATTATAGTTCCATGATCCGATATTCTATGTTCCTTCACATTTTCACATGACACTTCCTTTGCGTTCGAGTACAATAAGTCGATCAGTGTTTCCGAATATTCAGTAACCCTAGTATTAAAGTTAATTAACTGTTTCATTGCCTGATGGGCGAATATCTCATTCAGTTTCTTACTATATGTCGACATTATATTCAGGTTTATATTAAAATCTCCGATAATAATGGTATTTACCATGTTATCGCATATTTCCGACAAAATGGTCTCCATATATTCTAGAAAATCAGCATCACTTGAACTAGGTGAGTGATAGACCACCCCGATTTTCCATTTGGTTTCGAGATTTTTCAGTTGGATAACTACACACCAAACATTTTTATCGATAGATTTGTTTAGTATTATTTTAAAATCTAGTGCGTTACGCAATATTATGATTACCCCTCCTGTATGTCTACTGTACGAGTCACATCTTACAACTTGATATGTTGGAAACTGTATTTCATAGTCATATATTTCCTCTGTTGTACAAGTTTCGGAACATAGAACTATATCCGGATCAACAATTTCAATTAGCCTTTCAAGTTCTATTTTATTAGCTACTATACTACTTATGTTAAAATAAACGCATTTCAAGTAACTGTTATGCTTCTCATGTACTGGCTGAACAGTCAACTCCATGCCACGGTTCCTATTAACTGACTGTAATTGTTAATAGCTGGCTCTATTTCTCTTATGCTCTAGTTTCTTCATGTATACAGGACACTGTCGGTTAGTTGTCAAGTGGTTCACGTCGAGCCCTGGATTAAATTTTTTGTTTGCACGAATGCAATTGATACACTTGTTTATTTGCTCCTTTGTGCACTCCATTGTTTTATGATTACCCAAGCACTTCAGGCAGACCTCTTCATCCTTGCACTTCGTAGCTATATGATTGAAGCCCGTACATTTGTAGCATACTGACACACCCATACCATCTTGGACTCTACATTTCTCCCACCCAATATTTATTTTTTCGCTTTTGAGCACTGCCGAGAAGGCATCAACGTCCGTTTTAATGAGCACATTATAGTATTTAGACCTATCTTTCTTGACTTCAATGTGTTTAATAATTTTAAAGTCAGCACTTTTTAAACAGTCATTTTGTTTTTTTATCATTTCTACAAGTTGCTCGCTTTCATATTTAAAGCTTACTCCAAACGCCATAAACTTGGGTTTAGCCGTATTCGGCATTCTAATTTCATAGCGGTCACTCATTTTTTTTTTGCAATTGCGGTCTTTATTTTATCGCGCTCAGATTCGTTTTCGCTTTGAATAATGATTGTACCACTTTTCCTACCCGGCACATTGCTTATTTTTAGATCCGATGGATCAACGTTCTTATTCAGGTCCTCTTTTGATTTCATCGCGTCTTGCTTCTCTTTCGGTTTTATGATCAGGGGTTTCTCATTATTTATTTTCGGTACCTTGTTGTTCACTAATCCGCTTTTTAAACGCTCAGCATATGAGGCCTTGCTGTGATGACTTGATTTCAGCTCTTCACTTACTGACTTTTTTATTTCTTCACATATTTTTCTACTTTCACTCTCATTTCGTACCATAGCCTCGCATAGATCTTGGCTATGCTTTTTCACATCTTCAGCTACAGCTTTCATCTTATTGGCCTCAGCTATGCTAGTTTCGCATGTTTTTTGAACTCTTTGCATTGCATCTATACGCTCACCGAATTTCCTCTCTATAGCTTCTAAAAGGAGCTTTAGCTCTGTAACCTGCATTTTTTGCGACTCTTGAAAGTCGTCTTTACACTCTTTTATGTTTTTACTATTATTCCTTATAGAGATATTCATATTTCGCAACACCTCATCAATATTATGCATATATGTGAGACAACCATCGCACATAAAGCGCACATAGGCATTGTCCGCAAGGACTTTTTTGCTGAACTCATCGAGATCAGAGCATTTCTTTGCCCAGTGAAACACTTTGCCGCATATACCTTCACAGCGGATTCCACTCTCACCGCGTATTAGGCCTTTGCACTTATGGCAGTCACCCATTTTCTTGGCTGACACTTCACTGCACTTTTGAGTGTTTTTTTAATTATTTGCCGACGTCCCAAGCCTTGTCGCAACGGTGTTATCGACACCTGCGTCTATTATGGTTCACAATTCGTTATTTGTGTTTGTATATATGTGTTGTGTTTACTAGAGGTAAAGCACGAAGCCGCTGCTGCGCGCCTTTTCGCCTATCACTATCACTTCTCTTCACTTTCCCCGTTTTCTTCCTAGTCTCAAAGTATACTTTAATTTCATTTGATTTGCTTAAACTAGTGTCACTATCACTTTGCTATTTAGCAAGATTCACTTTCCGATTATATATATGAATCGCTATTTGCATTTGAAATCGCGTTAAGCTAATAAAACCGCAGAATTTAAAAAACTTCGCGGAGTTACTATAACACGACCTTTCACACCCACAACACCAACCTATCTCGATTCGTTTTGGCTGTTACAAACAACAGTTATGTGAACAAAATTAATATACCCTTGTGCACAAGTGCGCTCGGGTATAAAAACGGATTTACGAATCCAATATTAAAAAATTGCATCGCATCGCCAGTTCTCTACCACTGCAGTCCTATTGCGCTGTGAATTTAATAGAAACAAAATTAAAAGATCCAGAGTATGCACAAGTTATGGTAATGAATTATATTATGGAATACATATTTCACGTTCTAATTGCTGTACATACATTTTTCAAAGGTCAATTATATCAAAAATAAAAGGTGTGTCTGAGGACATAGCCAGCGGTATTAAACATTCATTTTCGAACGAGGCATTGCTGCAGCTTATGGCTGACTTCCAAAACGTCAATTGCATTTCATACGTACGAAGTTTAATGTTCCATAACGCCGAACTACAATTGGTTGACAATGTATACTTTTCCAAAACGCATCCGAAAAGTTATCGGAACGCATCGCTAGAGTAATCAGCGTATCAGAAACAAAGTTGATGCTTAGTTACCATTGGTGTTTTAAAAATGCAAAATTCCGAAATGGTGATCATTGTTTTATTAAATATTCCAAATATGCAATCTATATGGTTGCAATGTTTCGCAACTCTTCATATGCAAACAGTTTAAATACCGTAGTAGAACAGTATCCAAACATTAGGGGTATTCTCCAAGTCTTGCACGATGCACGGATTGCACGAAATGCAAAAATACTATTCCAAATTTCGAAGAGTACGAGAGCACCCCATTGCAAAGTGGTAGCATGCATGGGTAGCAAGCAGCGAAATTATGTATCAAATACAATAACAAGGGACAGCAAATAACAAATGAAGTGAGCGAGATGAGAGGAATGAGAGAAATATGTAGCAATTCCAACAACAAAACAACTAGCACAGGGTCGCATTTATCTTGCTATGCTATTTTGCAAAATATATACATGGGTTTCGACGTTGCATATTTTGCAGCGATAGGAAATGTTGTTTCCCATTTATTTTGTTGTTGTGTGTTTGCAAGCTATGCAATCCATGCAATCCGTGCTACGTGCAATGGCTTTGCAAGATTTGGAGAATACCCCTATTGTATTTGCACGTTTTGGAAGTCAGCCTAACTGTGACGGCAGATGGGAGAGAAAACCACTAAACAAACTTATACTGGTTGACATAATCCTACGAGGTAATATGCACACATATTAGGGACACAACAAGTTCTGACCATTTATTTTTTCGTTATTTATTTATAACTATATACCTATATATAAACCTTTTTAACATACTTTGTCAAAAATTCTCAAAAATCTACGCTAGATCTTAAATAAATGGTCAAAACTTATAAATAAGTAGTATCCCTAATTATGTCACCACTACATATGTACATACATATGTACATATCTTTTAACAATAAAAATTTTTTGATAATCTATTTCAATCCACTTAGATGCACTGAAAAATAGAGGTCCTGTGGAGTTCGAAAATGAAATCAGGAAGGCAATTGAGCTCAGCCATCACCGCTTGCACCAAAAAATCTAAAAACATATCGGCTGGAAATGTATAATATTAGGATATTAGATTTAAGTACATATGTACTTATGTACGCTGGTGGCAAAAATAATAAAAACGTCTTATTTTGCTTAATTTTTTGCCACATTTCCTTTGTTTATTAATGTTTAATGTACTGCGCTTAGGGTAATGTATTTAGCTTCTAATTTGATGTAATGTACTTAGCTTCTAATTTTTTGACGATCAATAATTAGTTCATAAGATTTTATGAAAATAAAAGAAAAAACAAGTATTACATGTGTCATTAATGATACATTTCTATATCGTGGGAAAGAGATCAGACTAGACGAATTTTTACATCAACTGTGAGTAATCAACAATGATATGAAAACATGACAGACTTGATGTGTCATGATTGATCAGTTATTACATCAAATTTGATTGCACATTACTGACTTATAATTCTATCAAGGTTGAACACTCATAATTGTCGAAGATTTACATCACTGATAATTAAATTTGAATGCCGGACTCAAAGGGAGTAAGCAGTCTAGCAATATGCCAGAACGTATATCTTAGAAGGAGATAAAGCATCACACGTACACAGAAGTTTCCATCAGGTTTAGCCCTGGCAGAATTTATTAACATTTGTCAAACTTTAAATTGTGGCGGGTGTGACATGGAAAATTGACCTCTCATATGAGTTTGTAAATGGTACAACCCAAAGTAAAAAACATCTGATATTGAGATAAATTTGAGATTTTGGCTTTCAGTCTTGAAAGTTAGATTTAATTACTCTTACTTACTAGAAATAATAAACTCAAGTTCTTAAGTTTATTTTCGTTTCATTCGATTCGTGGAATGAGCCAAATGCTTTTCAAATGTTTTATTAAAACCAAGAGGGCCATGGACATGTACAACTGCATAGCGTCGCACAGTAAAGCAAAAAAAACGTCGAAAATAATTCCGATCTTGGTAATATTGGGTTTAGAGTTGGCCGTTAACTTATCATTCAATAGAGAACAATTTCGCAATAGTTCTTCTTTATTTTGATTTGTCTTCTTCCTTATTGGCGTTGCAACCGCCCACCTAACCGATTTTGGCCGAGTCTAACAGCACGACAGTTGTTTCTCTTCTGTGCCAACTCATACAAATTGGAAATGCGAAGTGAAGCCAAGTCCTTATCTACCTGGTATTTCCAACGCAGAGGAAGGCCTTCCTCTTCTTCTGTTACCAACATCGCAGCTCGCAGAGCAGGAGCGTTTCTGTCCATTCGAAGGACACGGCCAAGCCAGCGGAGCTGCTGAACTTGAATTCGCTGCACTAAGTCTATATCGTTGTAAAGCTCATACAGCTCATTGTTAAATCGTCTGCGGTATTCGCCATCGCCAACGCGTAAAGGTCCGTAAATATTTCGCAGAATCTTTCTCTCGAAAACTCCAAGAGCCTCTCCATCAGATGTTTTCATTGACCACGCGTCCGCGCCATTCACCAGCCCAATAGTGACTTATAGAGTGTGATCTTCAAATTCAGCTTAAACTCGAGGACCTCGTTAGTTTCAAATCTAGAACCCTTTTAATATTTTTTGTCAAAATGTTTCATAATTGCTTAGTGACGCAGCAATAAACACATACATTTACTGCTGAAATTTTGGCCACTTATCTAGTTTTTTTTAAGGGTCCCGAGGAGTTTTTCGTCTTCGTTTAAGTCGCCGCGTTCAGGGTTGCCACTTTGGTAAATTGTTACCAAAATTGGTAGGAAATATTTAGGTTGGTAAAAAGGTAATTCTTTCTCATTTTCGTAGATTTTTCTTGAATCTTTCGTTTCCGTTTTATTTTTTTATATTATAAATTCCTATGTACAATTTTTGTATACTTACATATACACGTATAAATGTATAGCGAAACAAGGCCAACACATCGTTCTCCGTTCAAAACTCATTTTATTGGAATCCCGAGGAGCTGTTGATTGCCTAAATATTTTAAATGATTATTTAAATAAAAAGAAAAAATTTACAGGCATGTAACTAGGCACTATAATTTTTTGCAAAAAAAAATTAAATCAACGCAATTTTTTATCAATGGAAACTGCTAAATAAAAAACCACAAAAGACTGGGGCAAAAAAAAAATTAAAAAAAATCAACGGGAATTTTTGCTGCACATTCTTGGCTATATCTACTCAAATATTATGAGCTACTAAACTCCATACAT